CTGTGAAACAGTGAACTTGACAGAGTTTAGTTAGTTATTATATCAGCTTATCTTTAAAGTGGACACACGACTTCATGCTCAGAGTTACAATGTTTCCCATTTCTAATTATAATCAGACTAACTATTGATAAAAAGCATTTTTTTGACTGTGGATTATTAGAGAGGACGTGTAAACTATGAAAAAGTCTTTTTTTCTACAGCAGTTGAAAATCATTCTTTAATCCTTTTACATTTACATGACTTCACAATAATGTGAGTGGACCAGAGATCTATGAATAAAGCTAAACTTTCCTTTCAAAAAAGAGTTATTATCATCTCTGCCTTGTTTTTTTCCAGTTCTACCTTTTGAAAATGAGCTAAATAAACCTCAGTCCTTTATTATTTTAAATACTAACCTAAGTGTCATTTATCTTTAGTTATGGCTTCAATGCTTTACTGGACAACAAACCAAGGTCAGGGATTGTCTTTTAAATATTTCAAATATTTGTTTCTTGGCTTATTCTGACATGTTTAAGGTGGAAGCCCAAACCACAGAAAAAATAGTTTAATTATTACTTTGCAAAACAATTAAATATTTAATTTTAACCCTCACAGCTCGTCTGACTGTGAGTCCCAGCAGCTCTCAGTTCTTTGAAGGAGAATTTGTGTCTCCGAGCTGTGAGGAGGACGACAGTTCTGCTGGATGGACTCTGAGGAGAAACACAAGCACAGACACCAGAGCTGAGTGTGAGGAGTGGGGAGAAGCAGATGGTTCTTCCTGTAACATCAGCTACATCGACCCGCTGGACAGTGGAGTTTACTGGTGTGAGTCCAGAGAGGGTCCCATCAGTAACATGGTTAACCTGACAGTCACTGGTAAGCTGAGTGTGTGGAGTTAGTGTTGGTGAAGCTGTGTGTAAATGGATGAAATGCTGTAGTTTGTCTCTGTGTTGAGGTGGATCAGTGATCCTGCAGAGTCCTGTCCTCCCTGTGATGGAGGGAGATGACGTCACTCTGCTCTGTAAAACAAAGACCACTCCCTCCAACCTCACAGCCATTTTCTTCAAAGATGTCGTCTTCATTGGGAAAGACTCTACAGGTCACATGACCATCCAGCATGTTTCCAGGTCTGATGAAGGCCTCTACAAGTGTGACATCAGCGGTCATGGAGAGTCTCCATCCAGCTGGATCACTGTCACAGGTGACACACTCACCTGTCTGTGTTTCTGCAGCTTTCAACATTCACAATG